CAGTATCATCAGCAAAAAGTAACTGTGTTAATTCCCATTTTGAATTTGATTCCCCATAATTTAATCCCACCCCTCTCCCGAACACCCTAGCATTTACTTCTTTTACAACCCCATCTATAAATATATTAAACAACCATGGTGACATTACACATCCCTGTCTAAGACCTACTTTTACTGGGAAGTAGTCTCCCTCTCTTCTACACACCCTAACCTGAGCCTCACTATCCTCATAAAAACTCTTTACAGCATTTAGTAACTTACCACCTATTCCATATACTTGCAACATCTGCCACATTGCTCCCCTATCCACTCTATCATATGCCTTTTCTAAATCCATAAATGCAATAAAAACTTCCCTACCTTTATCTAAATACTGTTCACATATATGCTTCAATGTAAACACTTGATCTACACATCCCCTACCCACTCTGAAACCTCCTTGCTCATGTAATCCTACATTCTGTCTTACCTCTAATTCTTTCAATTATAACCCTACCATACACTTTTCCTGGTATACTCAATAAACTTATTCCTCTATAATTTTTACAATCTCTTTTGTCCCCTTTCCCTTTATATAAAGGGACTATACATGCTCTACACCAATCCCTAGGTACCTTCCCCTCTTTCATACATTTATTAAACAAAAGTACCAACCACTCCAACACTATATCCCCCCCTGCTTTTAACATTTCTGTCATGATCCCATCAGTTCCAGCTGCTTTATCCCCTTTCATTCTACGTAATCCCTCACGTACCTCCCCCACACTTACATTCTGCTCTACTTCCCTCCTAAAAGATGGTATACCTCCCTGACCAGTGCATGAAATTACCACCTCCCTTTCTTCCTCAACATTTAAAAGTTCCTAAAAATATTCTCGCCATCTACCTAATACCTCCCTCTCCCCATCTACTAACTCCCCTACCCTATTTTTAACTGACAAATCCATACTTTCCCTAGGCTTTCTTAATTTGTTTAACTCCAAAATTATTTCTTATTTTCATTAAAATTTCTTGACAGTGCCTCTCCCACTCTATCATCTGCTCTCCTTTTGCACTCTCTCACCACTCTCTTCACCTTTCTTTTACTGTCCATATACACTGTTTTTTTTTTTTTTTTTTTTTTTCAACAAGTCGGTCGTCTCCCACCGAGGCAGGGTGACCCAAAAAAGAAAGAAAATCCCCAAAAAGAAAATACTTTCATCATCATTCAACACTTTCACCACACTCACACATTATCACTGTTTTTGCAGAGATGCCCAGAATACAACAGTTTAGAAGCATATACGTATAAAGATACACAACATATCCCTCCAAACTGCCAATATCCCAAACTGCACTTTAAAGGAGTGGTTTGGGATATTGGCAGTTTGGAGGGATATGTTGTGTATCTTTATACGTATATGCTTCTAAACTGTTGTATTCTGGGCACCTCTGCAAAAGCAGTGATAATGTGTGAGTGTGGTGAAAGTGTTGAATGATGATGAAAGTATTTTCTTTTTGGGGATTTTCTTTCTTTTTTGGGTCACCCTGCCTCGGTGGGAGACGACCGACTTGTTGAAAAAAAAAAAAAAAAAATACACTGCTTTTCTTATAACACTTCTGCTTTGTAAAAACCTCCCATAAGCTAACTTTTTCTCTTTTATCACACCCTTTACTTCATCATTCCACCAATCACTCCTCTTTCCACCCTCCTATAACCACAAACTTCTGCCCCACATTCTAATACTGCATTTTTAAAACTATTCCAACCCTCTTCAACCCCCCCCCCCCCACTACTCATCTTTGCACTAGCCCACCTTTCTGCCAAGTCGCTTATATCTCCCCTGAACTTCCTCCTCCCTTAGTTTATACACTTTCACCTCCCTCTTACTTGTTGTTGCCACCTTCCTCTTTTCCCATCTACCTCTTACTCTAACTGTAGCTACAACTAAATAATGATCCGATATATCAGTTGCCCCTCTATAAACATGTACATCCTGGAGCCTACCCATCAACCTTTTATCCACCAATACATAATCTAACAAACTACTTTCATTATGTGCTACATCATACCTTGTATATTTATTTATCCTCTTTTTCATAAAATATGTATTACTTATTACCAAATCTCTTTCTACACATAGCTCAATTAAAGGCTCCCCATTTACATTTACCCCTGGCACCCCAAATTTACCTACTACTCCCTCCATAACATTTTTACCCACTTTAGCATTGAAATCCCCAACCACCATTACTCTCACACTTGATTCAAAACTCCCCACACATTCACTCAACATGTCCCAAAATCTCTCTCTCTCCTCTACACTTCTTTCTTCTCCAGGTGCATACATGCTTACTATAACCCACTTTTCACATCCAATCTTTATTTTACTCCACATAATCCTTGAATTAATACATTTATAGTCCCTCTTTTCCTGCCATAGCTTATCCTTCAACATTATTGCTACTCCTTCTTTAGCTCTATTTGAAACCCCTGACCTTTACCATTTATTCCTCTCCATTGAAACTCTCCCACCCCCTTCAGCTTTGTTTCACTTAAAGCCAGGACATCCAGCTTCTTCTCATTCATAACATCCACAATCATCTCTTTCTTATCATTTGCACAACATCCACGCACATTCAGACTTCCCACTTTGACAATTTTCTTCTTGTTCTTTTTAGTAATCTTTACAGGAAAAGGGGTTACTAGCCCATTGTTCCCGGCATTTTAGTTGACTTTTACAACATGCATGGCTTATGGAGGAAAGATTCTTATTCCACTTCCCCATGGATATAAAAGGAAAAGTAATAAGACCAAGAACTATTAAGATAAAATCAAAGAAAACTCAGATGAGTGTGTATAAATAAACGTGTACATGTATGTGTAGTGTGACCTAAGTGTAAGTAGAAGTAGCAAGACATACCTGTAATCTTGCATATACATACATGTACAAGCATATATATATACACCCCTCTGGGTTTTCTTCTATTTTCTTTCTAGTTCTTGTTCTTGTTTATTTCCTCTTATCTCCATGGGGAAGTGGAACAGAATTCTTCCTCTGTAAGCCATGCGTGTTTTAAGAGGCGACTAAAATGCCGGGAGCAAGGGCCTGGTAAACCCTTCTCCTGTATAAATTACTAAATTTAAGAGAAACTTTCATTTCTCTTTTTGGGCCACCCTGCCTTGGTGGGATACAGCCAGTTTGTTGAAAAAAACAAAAAAAAAAAAAATCTAGTTACAATCATAATGAGTTATCTATGCAGACATTATTATTAACATCATGGGGGATTATTATTATTAACATCTTGGGGGGGGGGGGATGGAAGGTATTCAGGGAATTGGAGCACAGATCCAATTCCCTAGATCAAGAACCCCTCACCAGCATCAAGGGGCATATACAGAAATGAATTAGGTCACAAAAATATTACCTTATATTTTAGCAATGTTAGCTTGTAAAAAAAAGTTTCAAGTGATTGTTATTTACAGAATGCAAATTATTAAAATCAAAACTAAGTGCTAAACCTACAAGGGTGATACGGCACTGCAGGGTAATACATTTTTATAATCATGGGGAGTGCTAAACCCATAGGATTACACAATGCCTGTGGGGGGAGGGGGATGGAAGGTAATGAAGGTCAATTCAGGGAACCGGAGCACAGATCCAATTGCTTAGATCAAGAGCCCCTCACCAGCATCAAGGAACCTCTCTTGCAGGGCAGGGTAATACAATACAGTAAACAGCCAGGGTATTTTCCAGAATAGTTATGCCACTGTGGATCTAATACTTTGACATTTCTTGAACATTTCTGAGTGAGTTCCTCTGAATTCATTAATTTTATCACATTCCTGCATGTAATGATGCCAGGTGACAATTGTCCATCTGGCAAAGTTTACATTTAGTTTTGTCTACATCAGCTGGTGGTGGTGAGTCAACCTCTAAGATATTTGTAACCCAGCCATAGCTGAGCAGTGGCGACATCCAAGAGTCTGCTTATTCTGTTGGATGTGCCATGGGCATGTGGCTGCTCCTGCAGCCTCAAGTCAGTGAAGTTCAGTTGAAGTTCTAGGGAGGGGATTGAATTTTAGAAGGGTACTGAGGAATGGGGTAGGGATGGTGAGAAGGTAAAGGAAGTGAGAATGCAAGGGGGTAATAACTAGTTGGGTAAATATAAGGAAGGAATTTTTTTATGAGGTGGATGCTATAGCCCACAGTGCAGTTTAGTTCAGCAAAGTCTTGTCAGCCAGAGTATAAATACTTTTCAAACTTTGGTCATGGCAGCTAATGGAAGAATCAAAGCAATAACCATGTTGATCATGCAAGGGATATTTGCTTCTGCATACAGGTTTCCTTCTGAGGAACATCGAAAATCCCCAAGAAATTAATCCTATCCTTGATAACTGATATTAGGCTCATTAAATCTCACTCAGGCAGAGGCAGAAGGGATACTGTACACATACATGTACTAGACATGGGTGGCAGGCTGTAAATGTACTACATATGGGCAGCAGGCTATAAATGTACCAAACATGGGTGGCAGGTTGTACATGTACCAGACATGGACTGCCTGCCTGCCTAACGTAGCTGGCTGGCTGCTCTTCCTTGCCCTACCTGCACTTCTTGTAAAAATTATTTTGCCTCTGGCAACATAATTTCCAGATGTACATAAGAGGCCTGTCTTCCACCATAATGAAAATGGGCAGATCCTGGAGTAAACCTGGACCATACAAACTTGTGATTAAGCGTAGTTGGTCCATTTTATCGAGTGTACGACTGGACCTGACAGTTGTTTGATTTAGCAGATTTGGTCTGCTTCATTGGACATCCCATAAAACATAGATGTTGAACCTTTGTTTGGCCAGATTTTTTGTCTGTTTTAGCCAAAATCCACTTTATGGTGGTCCATTTTATTGGACATTTACTGTAATGAAATATAATTTTTTTACATAAAAGCACTCAAAACTAAATAACCTGAAAACTAATTTAGCTAATGCTAATATTTCGGATAATAAAAAAAATTCAAAACAACTTACAGATTTATAAAAAAAAATTTGTATCCTGGATACTAAACCAGATCTACACAATTTACAAATCTTTACAAAATTGCATTGATAGTGCATTAATAAAAAAAAAAAAATGCTGTCAGAATCATCATTCAATTCATCAGTTTGATGCTTTCTGGCAATATATTATCTTTTCTTACATTCACATAGAACAAGTATGTTTTTATTTAGCTACATTTGCAATACAGGTTTAATAATCTGGATGAAACAGTAAAACTTCTTCAGCAATTCAACCCAAAAAAATTAACTGGCAAGGTCTCATAAGCAAGTCCCCAAAGACCCCTCATGAGAGGTTAGTTTGTCAAGAATAAAAATGGATTATTATTCCCATCACACAATGAATTAGTTTAAAGGCTCTCCAACAGAACAGCAATGCCTTGACCTCCACCGATGCAAGCTGACCCAATGCCATACTTGATTCCACGGCGCCTGTGAGAAGATTAAATATTCATCATATTTTTAATATAACAAGGATTATTGTGAGGAAATTGATGAATACAAGAGGACATTGTATTGGCATGGTGTTGATTAAATAATGCAGTGTAAGTAATAATACTACATTGAACTTAATTTACAGAGATGGATACAAATGTAATTTACAAGGAAATTTGATCAAAGATAACATTTCTGGGGTTTGTAGTAACTGGTAATTCCATTTACTGTAATCTAGAGAAAATTTCAGAAATAAAACAGTGTTGATATTACAAAAAAAAAAAAAAAGTTAAGTTAAAATATTTGAACTGGGTTTACAAATTACTTGAGAAAATATAGCATGGTGAGTGACTAAGACAAATTTGATGTGAAGTATACACAGACAACTATTTCTACATTAATTAATTTATATATATACATATTGCAAGTTAAAGACATTATAGTTGCATTATATACTACAGAACTCTTTTATCTAATATGGATTAGCCTGATTATACTCGGGCAGAGGTCTTGAACTTTATCAGAAATTCTAGTGCAGTTACTGTTTCTTTAAGTATGTTGTCCTATACTTTTTTACTCTTTACCTGCAAGAGGTTTCTGTTTGGGTTCAGTCATACATCTGTGATATGAAAAAGGTGTAAATTTCCTAGTATTCAGTCTGTGTTTCATTACAGCTCTACAAGAGAAGCATTAGATCTCTGTTAGCATTTGTATTCAGTGTCCTAAAAATTTACAGTACATAGTAGTGTGTGTAAAGGTAGAAAGTTGAAAGTGAACATAGATAAGAGTAAGGTGATGAGGGTATCAAATGATTTAAATAAAGAAAAACTGGATATCACACTGGAGAGAGGGAGTATGGAAGAAGTGAATGTTTTCAGATATTTGGGAGTTGACTTGTCAGTGGATGGGTTTATGAAGGATGAGGTTAACCATAGAATTAATGAAGGAAAAAAGGTGAGTGGTGCGTTGAGGTATTTGTGGAGACAAAAAATGTTATCCATGGAGGCAAAGAAGAGAATGTACAAAAGCATAGTGGTACCAACACTCTTATATGTGTGTGAAGCTTGGGTTGCAAATGCTGCAGCGAGGATGTGGCTGGAGGCAGTGGACATATCCTATCTAAGGGCAATGTGTGGTGTAAATGTTATGCACAGAATTCGGAGTGTGGAAATTAGGAGCAGGTGAGGAGTACTAAAATTATTAGTCAGAGGGCTGAAGAGGGGTTGTTGAGGTGGTTTAGTCATTTAGAGAGAATGGATCAAAGTAGAATGACTTGGAGAGCATATAAATCTGTAGGGGAAGGAAGACAGGGTAGGGGTCATCCTCGAAAAGGTTGGAGGGAGGGGGGTAAGGGAGGTTTTGTGGGCGAGGGGCTAGGATTTCCAGCAAGCGTGCGTGAGTGTGTTAGACAGGAGTGAATGGAGACGAATGCTTTTTGGGACCTGACGAGCTGTCGGAGTGTAAGCAGGGTAATATTTTGTGAAGGGATTTAGGGAAACCAGTTAGCTGGACTCGAGTCCTGGAAATGGGAAGTACAATGCCTGCACTTTAACCCTTAAACGGTCCAAACAGATCGATGTTCAAATTCGTAGTGCTACAAAAGTAGATCTACTTTTTTTTACATATTTTCAAATATAACAAAAAAAAATAATGTAGATAAAAGTTTTTTTTACACGTTTTCAAATGTAAAACAAAAAAGAAGATCTACATTTTTTACATACTTTCAGAAGTTGAAAAAACGTATATATACGTTTGGACCGTTTAAGGGTTAAAGGAGGGGTTTGGGATATTGGCAGTTTAGAGGGACTTCTAAACTGTCGTATCTGAGCGCCTCTGCAAAGACAGTGATTATGTATGAGTGAGGTGAAAGTGTTGAATGATGATGAAAGTGTTTTCTTTTTGGGGATTTTCTTTCTTTTTGGGTCACCCTGCCTCAGTGGGAGACAACTGATGTGTTAAAAAAAAATGGAATGCTTTATCTGAAGATTTCCCTTCAAACTCAAAATTGCAAATCAACTACACACAACTCAATCATATCAACAATGGTGTTCTTATCAAACAGCAGGGATTTTATTGATGTATTTTCATCAAATAGCTGCAATTCTGTTTTTCACAAAGCCAATTTTGCTCTGGTATGGTGTGTGACCCTGAAACTGAAAACCAACAATAGTATTCTTTCAAAATGTGCTCACTGGACATCCCTTGCAAAATGTTTTTTCTTCTGAAGATTCTTTTAATGTCATTATTAATGAGGCTAAAATAATATTTAAAGAGATATGGTATCTGAAACCCCAAAATGAGCCCAAATCTAAAATAAAATTTATTATACAAACTGAATTCAGTGAAATTATGGACACTAAATTTGTAGGGGACTCTATAAGCCTCCCTCCTCCTTCCCAAATTTAGAGCTTGACTGTATATTAAAAATTAGCTCTTATGTCACAAAACACAATGATTTTGTTACTAAAGAAAATCACATATCACTTTAGTAATATATGCATTTTCTTTAGGGTTTTAAGTTTAACTATGTTAAAAGCAAAAAACTGCAGCAGTAAAAAACTCATAGTGAGACACTGAAGTTCAGAGGCTACACATTTGCAGAATTTAGTCTGAAAGATTAGATATGAGATTTACAAGTAAATTTTATAAACATTTTTTTAGGAAATCAATAAGTTTTAAGAAGGTTCTACATTAAGGAGACCCACCTAATCTCATGAACCAAATGAGAAGTGATACGTGCACCAGAAGCTCCCAGTGGATGGCCCAATGCAATGGCTCCACCATTCATGTTGAGAATGGCAGGATCCAAGTCTAATTCCCGTTGGCATGCAATTGTCTGAGGTGCAAATGCCTCATTGATCTGTAAATAAATTATATTTTTAAATTTCCACTAAAATCTCAGAACATATTCTACAGTATGCCTAGCTAAAACTTTATTTCAGCAATTCCAAGTAAGCCTCTCACAAATGACAGTAAATAATAATAATAATAATAAAAAAAAAAATTCAGTTACTGTAAGAAACGTTGGAGGGAAAAAAATGTGGTGACAATATGGCAGAATTTATCATTTTTAACGATTGTTCATTGTAGTGCACTACAAAGGATGACTGATTGTACTGCAGCAAAATGATAGTGTAAATTAATTTGTCAACATCTACCATCAATAGTATAGAAATCCTTAATCAGATTGTTGGAAGAAGCTTTTACTGTACTTGAGCTAGCCAATGTACATTCTGTATACAACATAGAGAATGCACTGCATCTTCAATATATGTAATAAACTACTTAAGTTTTAATAAATGAAATTTTACATAAAATAAATGCTGCCCCTGAAATCAGCAAAACCTTCATTTAACGGATTTCGGATATAACAGGCAAAATCTGTGGAGGAACAATATTCAGAAGCAACGGACACAATCCCTTTAATCCAGAATTGTCTGTTAGTCTTATAGTCCACTGAGTAAATTAATTCTGAATTTAACAGACTCTATCCAATGAATAAAAATTACATTATCCATTATTTTTACAGGTATTTCTGGATTAATTTTCGTGGGGAAGTGGAACAGAATTCTTCCTCCATAAGCCATGCATGTTGTAAGAAGTGACTAAGATGCCGGGACCAAGGGGCTAGTAACCCTTTGTCCTGTATACATTACTAAAGTTAAAATGAGAAACTTTTGTTTTTCTTTTTGGGCCACCCTGCTTCGGTGGGATATGGCCAATTTGTTGAAAGAAGAAAAGATTTCTGGATTAAACGAACATCCACTTAATCTGTTTAAACGGATTTAGTCCATTAAACCTGAAAACTGTCTGTCACTCTCACAGATCATAGAAAAGTCCCATAATTCAAATGTAACAAAAATTTATTTTAATGGACACTCTCACCCTCCTATTAGTCTGTTAAACTGAGGGCTCACTGTATTTTTGTTACATAAATTTGTGATATGATAGCTCTATGCAATTAATTGCAAGCAACACACACAAAAAAAAACAACTTTGGGTTTAGCTCTCCCTAGAACAATGCATATACAGAATATCTTTTGAGGCCAGTGGCACTCATATTTGTGCATGTCTTAATAATGGCACCCTCAAATATGCTGTGAACAATAAGGTTTGATCTAGATATAAGAGAAAGTCTCTGCAGTGGGTTTGCTCAGTATTAAAAAAATATCCTGCCCCATGCAGTGCTGCATGAAAGGAACAGCTAACCTTGTTTGGGTTAAAATAGAGACTTTAACACACTTTCTAGAGGAAGGAAAAGGAAAGAAAGGAAAGGGAGGGGAAAGGATGGGAAGGGAAGGTCCTCCTCCACCCATGACTGTCTTATGATTTTCTACTAGATCTGTTATATTTTGTTAGCCAAGAAATAGGGCAAAACTTTGATACTTTGCATGATGATGGATTCAAAAGGGAGGACAAGTGTTATATACGAGAGGCCTGGGGACATAATTAATCAACAGAGGAAAAGGTGCATTAGTGGCTGAAATGCCTACAATGTTTATTTTGAACTGTTTTTAAAAGTGAATTTTGTGTAGTTCTGATAGTTGAATGGGAATGCTAGTGAAATAGCCAGAAACTAAGTCAGTTTGAGCCAAGGAACTGGCCTGAAATAGGCCTCCAAGTTAGCAAAATCACACTGCACAAAATGCTCCCCTACCTCCAACTTCATACCTACATAATTCCATAAGTTTTACTTCAAATTATGCAGATTTTGCTGTCATTACCTTTAGAGATTCTCTACTATACAAGTAGTAGAGAATCTTTTTTCTTTTATCAACTGCAACATTGATGGTACTTTTAATTTTGGAGGCCATTACAGTAAAAAGGTTAAACAATTCATAAAAATGTTTTTTTTTTTTTCAACAAACTGGCCGTATCCCACCAAGGCAGGGTGGCCCAAAAAGAAAAATGAAAGTTTCTTTTTTTAAATTCAGCAATTTATACAGGAGAAGGGGTTACTAGCCTCTTGCTCCCGGCAAAAAATGGTAAATCTAGGTTTCAAATCATTGGAATTCTGTGGATCTGTGGAAGGTCATCATTCCTGCTCATTCCAGATTAACTGAAAAACATACTTAACATGATATACATAAGCTCAAGTCACAATATAACAAACAACAATTCTCTGAACTTCGTTTCTGTTTCTTCTTCAAATGAATTTTTCACTTACTTCAACCATGCCAATATCCTTCAGCTCCAGCCCTGACACTTTAAGGAGCTTTCTAATAGCAGGTACTGGGCCAATGCCCATGATGTTGGGATCAACACCAGCCACAGCATATCCTACCAGACGGGCCAAGGGCTTCAGGTTGTTCTCCTTGCATGCTTCCTCTGAAGCCAGTACTACAGCTCCAGCTCCATCACAGATGCCCTAAAATGATAATTAAAAATTTTAACCTATTGCTTATAGCTGAATCTAGTAATTTTATTATTTGTTTTTATTAACTCATCGGTCGTTTCCCACTAAGGTAGGGTGGCCTGAAAAAGAAAACTTTCATCATCATTCACTCCATCACTGTCTTGCCAGAGGCATGCTTACAGCAGCTATAAAACTGCAACATTAACACCCCTCCTTCAGAGTGCCGGCACTGTACTTCCCATCTCCAGGAATAAAGTCAGGTCTGCCGGTTTCCCTGAATCCCTTCATAAATGTTACCTTGCTTTACACTCCAACAGCACGTCAAGTCCTAAAAACCATTTGTCTATTTGCTCCTAACACGCTCACGAAAACTTGCTGGTAGTCCAAGCCCTTTGTACACAAAACCTCCTTGACCCCCTCCCTCCACCCTTTCCTAGGGTGACCCCTACCCAGCCTTCCCTCCATTACAGATTTATCCACTCTCTAAGTCATTTATTTTGTTCCATCCTCTCTACGTGTCCAAACCATCTCAATAACCCTTCCTCAGCCCTCTGAGGACCTCAGCAGTTAAAATACAGACCCTCTATTTCTTGTTCCATTTGTCTCCAAAGTGGGTCTCTCCATTTCCAGTGATAAATGCTCATTATACTACCAACACTGCATACCCAAGAATATGTATCTCCGGCATGGCAACAATATTTTTAGATGAAAATCTTACTGCCAAGCAAAAATATAAGCAAAGTGCTGTCCATGGGCAAGCTTTCTTAAATCAACCAGACTAGTACACATTTGAAACCAGTACTAGGAAAAATTTGTTTACTTAATAGTGATTAGGAGAAATTATAGAAATTATAAAAAGTGTAGTGGTACCAACACTCTTATATGGGTGTGAAGCTTGGGCTGTAAATGCTGCAGTGAAGAGGAGGTTGGAGGCAGTGGAGATGTCCTGTCTAAGGGCAATGTTTGGTGTAAATATTATGCAGAGAATACGGAGTGTGGAAATTAGAAGGTGTGGAGTTAATATAAGTATTAGTCAAAAGTCTGAAGAGGGGTTGTTGAGGTGGTTTGGTCATTTAGAGAGAATGGATCAAAGTGGAATGACATGGAGAGCATATAAATCTGTAGGGGAAGGAAGGAGGGGTAGGAATCTTTCTCGAAATGGTTGGAGGGAAAGGGTAAAGGAGGTTTTGTGGGCAAGGGGTTTGGACTTCCAGCAAGCATGAGTGAGTGTGTTAGATAGGAGTGAATGGAGACGAATGGTATTTGGGCCCTGATGAGCTGTTGGAGTGTGAGCAGGGTTATATTTAGTGAAGGGATTCAGGGAAACCGGTTATTTTTATATAGCCGGACTTGAGTACTGGAAATGGGAAGTACAATGCCTGCACTTTAAAGGAGGGGTTTGGGATATTGGTAGTTTGGAGGGATATTATATAACTGTTGTATCTGGGCACTTCTGCAAAGACAGTGATTATGTATGAGTGAGGTGAAAGTGTTGAATGATGATGACAGTATTTTCTTTTGGGGGATTTTCTTTCTTTTTGGGTCAACCTGCCTCAGTGGGTGATGGCCGATTTGTTGGAAAAAAAAAAAATTACCAATTTCTCAATATATCTTGGGAATCCAATTTCAAACAAAATGATATAAAGCCAAAAGCTGGAAAAAATTAAATATGAATGCTTACAACTGTAGCACTAAACGTGTATCGAGGGAAGAAGCACGTAGATTCAATGCAGAAAAGAGAATGCATGAAAGAAAAAGAGAATGATATTACCTTTACATTCTTAACTTTCCCACCTAAGTAAACTGAAAGAAATAACAGGAGAGACATGAAAATAACTCCATAGGGAAGTGGAACAGAATTCTTCCTCCGTAAACCATGCATGTCGTAAGAGGCTACTAAAATGCCAGGAACAAGGGCTAATAACCTCTTCTCCTGTATACCTTACTAAATTTAATAAAAAAGAAAATCTTTTGCTTTTCTTTTTAGGTGGGATATGGCCAGTTTATTAAAAGAAAAAAGAATTTCTTATTGTATTCTTAGGGAAACACAACATCTGTAGAGACCATAACAGCTCCTAGGAATTGGGAGGTAATCAGGGTTCAAGAAAGGGGAGGGTAGCTCAAATTCCTTTATCAAAGAACCCTTCCCTAGCATCAAGGCACCTTCTCTTTAAGCTATTCCCAAAGACTACAAAAGCACAATACTGTGACTGGAACAATACACAAACAACCCACACATAAGAGAAAGAAACCTATAATGATGTTTTGGTTCAACTTGAACCATTAATAATTAGTTACACACATCATCACAAGTCTCTCTCCTATATGTGGGTTGTTTGTGGATTCCCGAAGTATAGTAGAAAAACTGACTTGTATTGAGTCAGTCACTTCAAGGAATTGTGTATGTTAAGACACTTGTGCAACATCTGGTTATCTTTACTGTAGACGTTTCGCCATCCAGTGGACATAATTAGAAAACAGTGCTGTAAACACCACCTCCAAGGCTGAGGGACTGATTACCTCATCTTTTGTATATAGTTCTTCTGTTTTCTAATTATGTCCAAGAATCTGTATTGATAAAGCCACTGGATGGCAAAATGTCTACAATAAAGATAACCAGATGTTGCACAAGTGTCTTAACTTTCATCTTGTCGGTATTGTATACCTGTCTTGCACAAGTAATTGTGTGTTATTTCTTGGTTTTTGGTTAGAAAAATATGGAATCACTCATCTTTGATGTTGGAGTATTTTATTATGTATAGAGGGTACCTATATAACCAGTCATTTTAGAAAAACACCATGAAGGGAAATGAAAACTAATGTAGAGGTATCTGGGAATCCACAACAAAACCATCAATGATAGAAAATACTACACATTATCATTTTATACACCAACATTCACATTTGAAAACTAAAAAATACATTACTGAATTTGCAAGCTAAGAGCTGTTGTTGTACCTCAGTTTGTTTCAAAGCCCAACTCTATCTAAGATATAGCACAGTACTGCCCACAAGGATGCCACCCACAATGATTGGCTAACACCTTCTGTACCTAGAATGGGGTGTACCAATCAATATTAAATGCAGGCTGGGAAAAAATTATAATGTAATGTGGTGAATATTTTCACAGGTTTTCATTCAGTTTAGCCAAGTCCTGGCAACTGCTCAACTGGCAAGGAGATTGCCAGGTGAGGGCTTTGAAAATATGGAGCTAACAGATGTGAATGAACTCATAGATGACAAGGAAGAAAGAAGTAAGGAGATCTTGGCAGAGCTCAATCCCCAGATACAAGGAAGGCAGATAACAGATGAGGATGAGAAAGAAACAACAGTTATATGAAAACTGCAGACTTTTTTGCTGAGGACCCAACACATCTGAAGGGATGTGTGGTAAAACAGATGATGCTTTACCATTGGCTATATGAAGTACTGCAAGGTAAAACTGCCCCTCAGCACCATAACCATAACCTAATGATAACTCTGCATCAACAACAGTATAAGAACCTCAGCCAACAATCCATAACCTCCCATCTGAGCCTCGTAACGCCACACTATTACTCTCCACTCTTGTCAAAATCACTAACAACCAGAATTTAAAGTAAGAAAAATTATTTATGTACATATATTTGTCACCCTGCCTCAGTGGGAGACGGCCAACTTGTTAAAAAAAATGTCACAAGTATTGTATTAACCCTTTCAAGGTTTCGGCCATACTAGTACAGCTTACGCACCAGGGTTATTGACGTACTAGTACGCCTAAATTCTAGTGCCCTCAAATCTAGTGAGAAAGCTGGTAGGCCTACATATGAAAGAATGGGTCAATGTGGTCAGTGTGCACAGTATAAAAAAAATCCTGCAGCACACAGTGCGTAATGAGAAAAAAAAACTGACAGTGTTTTTGGATTAAAACAGCAGCTTTGCACTGTATTTTTGTATGGTATTTATTGTTGTACTCTAGTTTTTCGGGTCTCATTCTATAGAATGGAAGACATATTAAAGAAATTGAGATGATTTTGACTGATTTTACAATGAAAAGTACCTTGAAATTGAGCTCAAAGTAGCAGAAATGTTTGATTTTTAGCAAAGTTCAAAAGTAAACAAATCATGCTAAGCATCCAATACACGTCAACTGGTGAGTCTAATATTCTTTCACAAGTGCGCCGATTTTATTTATACCATTTTTTACACTAATGCAGTAGTCTGCATAACAGTAAATCTTCTATTTTTTTGTGAGAATAAAAATTCAAAGTGGAAAGCAAAAGAATGTAAGAGGAGCATTGGGACATGACTAATGAACAGAGGAAATGTCATTTTAGTGCCAGGAATGTCTTTCTTGTTTATTCTGGACCCTATTTGGAAATTGGCATCTTTTGAAATTTGTGTGAAATTGGCAAAATTGCTAAATTCTGACCACTGCATCGGATAGTTGAAATTGGTAAATGGGTGGTTTCTTGCACTCATTCGATAGAAAAAATGGAGTTCTAGTGAAACATTCATGATTTTTGTCAACTAGTACAGTGGAATTGCCCGAAAATAGGGCTCAAAGTGGGCAAAATCGCCAATGCGTAAACATCGTCGAGACCGCTAACTTCGCGAGAGCATAATTCCGTAAGTTTTCCAACAAATTTCATACTTTTGGTGTCATTATGATCGGGAAAAGATTCTCTATCTTTTCATAAGAAATTTTTTTTTTTTTTTTTGAAATTTGGGTGACCCTGAGAACAAGTCTCTGAGACGGCCGGTCGCCCAAATGAGAGGGGGGTCGCCTCTCTGAAAGGGCCCTCTCAGAGACTTGTTCTCAGGGTTGGTCAAATTTAAAAAAAAAAAAAAAAAAAAAAAAAAAAAATTCTGATGAAAAGATAAGAGAATCTTTTCCTGATCATAATGACGCCAAAAGTATGAAATTTGATGGAAAACTTACGGAATTATGCTCTCGTGAATTTAGCGATCTCGATGATGTTTACGCATCGGCGATTTTGCCCACTTGAGCCCTATTTTTGGCCAATTCCAGTGTACTTGTCGACAAAAATCATAACTATTTTGCTAGAACTCCATTTTTTCTATCTAATGAGTACAAGAAACCACCCATTTACCGATTTCAACTATCCAATACAGTGGTCAGAATTTAGCAATTTTGCCAATTTCACACAAATTTCAAAAGATGCCAATTTCCAAATAGGGTCCAGAATAAACAAGAAAGACATTCCTGGCACTAAAATAACATTTCCTCTGTTCATTAGTCACGTCCCCATGCCCCTCTTACATTCTTTTGCTTTCCATTTTGAATTTTTATTCTCACTAAAAAATAGAAAATTTACTGTTATGCAGACTACTGCATTGGTGTAGAAATGGTATAAATAATATCAGCGCACTTGTGAAAGAATATTAGACTCACCAGTTGATGTGTATTGGACGCATAGCATGATTTGTTTACTTTTGAAATTTGGTAAAAATCGAACATTTCTGCTACTTTGAGCTCAATTTCAAGGTACTTTTCATTGTAAAACCAGTCAAAATCATCTCAATTTCTGTAATATGTCTTCCATTCTATAAAATGAGACCAGGAAAACTAGAATACAACAATAAATACCATACGAAAATACAGTGCAAAGTCGCTGTTTTAATCCAAAAACACGGTCAAAGTTTTTTTTTTCTCATTACGCTCTGTGTGCTGCAGGATTTTTTTTATACTGCGCACACTGACCACATAGACCCATTCTTTCATATGTAGGCCTACCAGCTTTCTCTCACTAGATTTGAGGGCGCTAGAATTTAGGCGTACTAGTACGTCAAAAACCCTGGTGCGTAAGCCGTACTAGTACTGCCAAAACCCTGAAAGAGTTAAATATGACACCACTATATCCAACTACAATATTAATTTTTAGAATTAAAAAAAAAAAAAAAAAAGGTCAATTTGGGGAATCCTAAGACATAACCCTTTTTTTCTTGTATGTTCTTCAGTTCGATTTATACATTTTTTTTTAATTAGGTGCAGTTTTCAGGAACATGACTACTATCTCACTCGAGTCTAAAGGACTTAATCATAGTACAGTGGACCCCCGGTTAACGATATTTTTTCTCTCCAGAAGTATGTTCAGGTGCCAGTACTGACCGAATTTGTTCCCATAAGGAATATTGTGAAGTAGATTAGTCCATTTCAGACCCCCAAACATACACGTACAAACGCACTTACATAAATACACTTACATAATTGGTCGCATTCGGAGGTGATCGTTATGCGGGGGTCCACTGTATTTTCAAACTTGTAATAAATCTCCACTTACAAAATCAAATAATATTCCATATCCACTCAGTTCCAGCTTAAACAAAACACAAGTGCAGAGCAAGCTTTTACTGAGACAACATTTTGTTGCACATGTAGAGCTTTATCAAGTGAAAGTATAACACTGTCACAATAAAAGCTTGCTCTGCACCTGCCTATTCTTCAATACTGTCAGTAGTATGTAGACAATATTCATTTGCAACTTACTGAAGCAGTTCCAGCAGTCACAGTTCCATTCTTCTTAAACACAGGGGGTAGTTTGGCCAGACCCTCGGCTGTTGTCTGAGGTTTAGGGTGCTCGTCAACAGTCATTTCTTCAGTGCCTTTTCTTGTCTTGATGGAAACTGGTGCTATTTCTGCACTGAAGTGTCCACTGTCCTGACCTAAATGAGACAAAAAGGAATATTAAAAAAAAAAAAAAAAAAAAAAAAAAAAAAAAAAAAAAAAAAAAAAAAAAAAAAAAAAAAAAAAAAAAAAAAAAAAAAAAAGCAATAACTGAATGAGACAAATACAGCGGCACCCCGGTTTTTGTCCTTAATCTGTTCCAAAAGGTTGGTCGAAATCCGAAATGGACGAAAACCAAAGTAATATTTCCCATAAGAAATAATGTAAATCCAATTAATCTGTCCCAGACACCCAAAAATATTAACAAAAATACATTTTATAGAGAATAACTATGATTTTATATACAGAAAAGAATGAGAAATAAATATAAAGCACTATTTTTAATGGAAAAATGAACATTTAAATCACTATTACATACCTTTATTGAAGACTCTTGTTGGCGTATGGAAGACGGCGAGGAGGGGAGAGAAGAGAGGTTACTGTTTGGAAGGGGAATCCCCCTCCATAAAGACTTCAGGTATCAAAGCCCTATCCAAGGTTACTTCCCTTCTTTGTCTTTTACTTACACTAGGACCAGCTTGAGAGTCACTGTACCTCTGTAGCACAAAAAATCTGTCCAGAAAGGCCTGTTTCTAGAGTCTCTTTATGATTTGCCTAAAATGTGACAAGACATTGTCAGTGAACATGTTGCAGAAACAGCTTGCAACAGTTTTGTTAGGGTGATAATTCTCCATAAAACTTTACAGCTCACTCCACTTTGCACACATGCCCTTAATTACTGAAGAAGGCACATTCTCCCCTCTCTCTTCCTCCTCCTCCTCCTCTGAAGCAATTTCCTCAGTTGCAATCTGTTGCTGTTCCAGATGAAGGTCTTGCAGCTCTTCCATGGTTAGCTCTTCCCTGTGGTCCTCCACCAACACTTTCACATCCTGGCCGCTCACATCCACCCCCATGGACTTCCCCAAAGACACAATAGATTCCACAACAAGCAGAGGGTCATCAGAGTCAGCCTCAAACCCTTCAAAATCCTTCTCGAGGACACATTCTGGCCACAATTTTCTCCAAGCAGAGTTCGTCTTGGAAGTCACTTCCTGTCAAGCCTTATCTATAAGGCTTATGCAGCTGAGGATACTGAAGTGATTCCTCCAGAACTCTCTTGGGGTCAATTCATGTCCAAGGTCACTTCAAAGCACCTTTGAAACGTTGCTTTGGTGTAAAGCTTTTTGAAGTTGGAAATGACCTGCTGATCCATGGGCTGGATGAGAGGAGTGGTATTAGGAGACAAGAACTTCACTGTGATGAAACTAAACTCCTCAAACAATTGATCTTCCAAGTCTGGACGATGAGTAGGAGCATTGCCTATTACCAGGAGGCACTTGAGTGGCAATTTATTTTCCAGGAGGTATTTCTTCACTCTTGGGCCAAACACTTCATTGACCCACTCAATAAAAATCAGCCTCATGACCCATGCATTACTGTCAGTCTTCCATGGCACACACAATTTACTCTTCATGACAGTGTTTTTCTTGAACACTTGGGGATTTTCAGAGTGATACACCAGTAAAGGCTTCACTTTGAAATCCCCACTAGCATTACCACAGAACAAAAGTTAGCCCATCCTTCACAGGCTTGTGTCCTGGCAGTGCCTTTTCCTCCTGCGTGACGTAGGTCCTCTTTGGTATTTTCTTCCAAAAGAGGCACGTTTCGTCACAACTGAACATTCGTTGAGGGAAGAATCCTTCAGCCTCTACGTACTCCTTGAATTCATCAACAAATTCTTCGGCCGCACGTTTGTCTGAACTTGCAGCCTCACCATGCCTTACCACACTGTGTATGCTACTTTGCTTCCTGAATCTGTTGAACCAGCCTTTGCTGGCCTTATATTCACAAACAGCAGCACTTGTTCCAGGCATTTTCTTTACGAGATCCGCATGTAATTGCCTTGCCTTTTCGCAAATTATCCCCTCCACAACACTATCTCCCGCTAACTGTTTTTTGTTGATCCATGCCAACAACAACTTCTCCACATCTTCGATTGTTTGTGATCTCTGTTTCATTTGATTATTTACCCCTTTCGCAACATCAGCTTCCTTTATTTTTACTTTCTTCGTCAGGATGGAACTGATTGTTGATTTGGACTTCCCATACATCCTGGCAAGCTCAGCCATACATACGCCACTTTCATATTTTGATACAAGCTCTTTCTTGAATTCTGTCATGTTTCTCACCAAAGGGCTGGCACTCTGAACTTTCTTTAGCACCACAGTGGCTTATTTTGCACTTGCACTCAATAAACAAGCACTAAAAAAATGGATGAACGAGCAAGGTACTGTTCACTCAACAGGTGACAGAGGCAGACTGAGCCAGGCGGCAGCGTCCTGGGCGGACGGACGCGTCTGACACGGATGATTTCAGAGTCGATGTATGAAACCTGGAGTAAAAATTATCTGAAAAAAAAGTGGTCAAAATCAGATTTGTATGATATTTGAACTGGATGAAAACCGGAGTCTTACTGTACAGTATGTCCACACAATAACAGTGGAAGTGGAGTGCATATGGTAATTCAAAAAACTGATAACACTGGGTTATTTCATATAAGCCAGTCAAAAGTCAAGAGGCAAGAGTAAGAGAAAGAGTTTGTCTTCTGTAAACATAAATAAGTACAGGTGGGAAGTACAGTATCTGTACTCTAAAGGCAGGGTTTGGGATATTTGTTGTTTGGAGGGACATATGAACTGTCGTACATGTATGCCTCTGCTAGGTGAGTGATAAGTGTGAATGATGGTGAAAGTGCTTCTTTTTGGGTCACCCTACCTTGGTGCGAGACAGCAGTGTGTTAAAAAAATAGGTAATGACATGCTCTCCGGAGGAAAATCCTGTCCAGGTATTATTTTTTTGTTTCTTCCCATTAACCTACCATTCTTCCAATTCTGCTGACTCTTCAGGGCAAAGTTATCAGCATCTTGGCGTGTAATGTTGTATTTAGCAGCCAGGTTTTCAGCCGTCACACCCATGGGAGTCTTGGTGTGTGCATCAGTGAGAGATGCCCAAAGCGTGTCCTGCAAATGTGTTTAGTTTTAACTCTCAGTAGACAGACAGGCATAGACTTTCGTGTCACTCTCATTTGAATTCATTAATTAATTAAAACACTGGGCATGTACTACAGTGGTCCCTCGTTTTTCGTAATTAATCCGTTCCTGGATCCGTTACTATAAACGAAATTTACGATTTGCGAATCAATTTTCCCCATAAGAAATAATGTAAATACAATTAATCCGTTCCTGACACCCAGAAGCATTAAAACAAAAATTTTTTTTACATGAAATATACATATAGTACGTAAACAATACAATGGGAAATGATGAATGAAACATTAACAGCATAACACTTACCTTTATTGGAGATTCTTCTTAGTGTATAGGAGACTGGAGGAGGAGAGAGATTGGAATGTTTACAGTTTGGAAGGGGAATCCCCTTCTAGCAACACCTCAGGTACCAATTGATTCTCTTCTCTGTTTCTTAATGCCACTAGGACCACCTTGAGAGTCACTCTAGTCCTGTCTCGCAAAGTAACTGTGGAGAGAGCTCTGTTTCTGGCGTCTCTTTAACACTTCCCGAAAATGGCCCAAGACTTTGTCACTGTACATATTTCTCACCTTCTTTACCACAGGCTTGGCACTAGGAGCTTTCTTTGGAGCCATGGTAGCTTATTTAGTAATTGCAAGCACTAAAATGAGTGGAATATTATGAAATATTTCGTAGGAGCACTTGAGGGGACCTTCACTCACTGGTAAACAATGCCAGACTGGCTGGGTAGGGAGGCCGCCCCGGCTCACACCGTGCGTACGCGTCCCGGACGAACTACTATTCGCGAGTCAACCTATGAAAAGCGAGTCCATGTTTATACGAAAATACCCCTATGATTGGCGAAATTTACGATTGCCGAGAACTACGAAAAGCGAGGGGCCACTGTATTTATTTTTAGCAATTCATATGGTGATCCTTCAATTTAACCCTTAAACTGTCCAAACGTAGATCTACGTTTTCACGCGCAGCGCTTCAACCTTGATTTTCCCCCATAAGAAAGCATGTAAAAAACATAGATCTACGTTCGGAGCGCTAGCAGTGCAAACGTAGATCTGTGTTTGGACAGTTTAAGGGTTAACCACTAGACTACTGATCACAGTTCTATGTCAATGGGATAAGTATTGGTGTCATAGATCTATGCAGTAGGGTCCCAAGTTACAATGTTAAGACAAAAAATAAGAATATGTCTCTCATATGCATGGCTTAATAAATCAAATATGATGGCTTTCAGGTGTAACCATTTTGATGTTAGAACCGCAGGGGGGCGTTGACCCTCAAAATACCCTCCAGGTATTATCTGAGTGAGCTGAGTACATGCTGTAGAACTATGTGATGCACCCTGGCCTCAATAATGTAGTTTTATTTGATGTCCTTTGAAAGGGTTAAAGACATACCTCCATGGAAAGATCAGTTCCTAATCGAGTGCCAAAACGAATGTTGCGGACAGCATAGGGAGCCAAGGTCATGTTGTCGGTGCCTCCTGTTAACACTATCTTGCTGTCTCCCATCAGAATGTCCTGTAAAACACAAGTTTTGAAATTGTTTAAATTACCTATTAATCTTATACACCCCAAAGTTTCAACCACAAAATTTATTAATTAAAAGATCATAGAATCCATCAGTTATGTATAAGAGTAAAAAATTATAGCTCTCTTTAAATACTCACCCTGTTACTTTTTTTTTTTAACACACCAGTCACATCCCACCAAAGCAGGGTGACCCAAAAGAAAAACGAAAGTCTTTCATTTTAAATTCAGTAATTTATACTGGAGAAAGGTTTACTAGCCCCTTGCTCTCGGAATTTTAGTCGCCTCTTGCGACATACAAAGCTTATGGAGGAAGAATTCTTTTCCACTTCCCCATGGAGATAAGAGGAAATAAAGAAGAACAAGAACTATTAAGAAAATAGAAGAAAACCCAGATGGGTGTGTATACATGTGTGTGCATGCATGTGTAGTGTGACCTAAGTGTAAGCAGAAGAAGTAAGATATATACTTGTTATCCCGCATGTTTGCGAGACAGAAAAAAGACACCAGCAATTCTGCCTGTTACTTTATATCATTATTTTCAAGTTTTATACTGGATTCAATCACTTTGCTCCAATTCAAAAAAATGCAGATTCACATATGTTTTTACCACAAAATTTGAAGTGCATTGGGGGTAGGGGAGTTGCATTTTGTATGGATTGTATGACTAAAGAATGTGGATCCATCCTCTTTTTCAGTGCAAGTGATGTTACTGCTGTAACACCATCAATATCAGAGGCATCTTGCTAAGTTCATTTACAGTAGAAGATGCAGGATGAAGTACATGACTGAACAACATACATATAGTTCCCGGCTGTTAGTGTCTAAATCAGCTGAAGCTCAAGTGTCATCCCTGCCTTCAACATGTTTCACATCATGACAACAGTCCCAATGGGCCCAGGCTATTAGAGTTTTCTTTCATTAATGCTTCATCCTGCATGCCAATAATATCATTAAAGGAAGCTGGGACAGAGTGAAATAGATGAGCAAGATGCATGTGCAATGGTTGGATATCTATTCTTGAAAAATTTTGCCTAAATGGTAGGCTTCTGTAGTCAAATACAGAGACCAATTTTGGAGGCACCAGGTGTAGTGGTGAAATATTATGCATCATTTGCACAATTATAAAGAATGAAATGTTCCACCATTAATAGGTGGTATTCTTTGTGGCCAGTGTGTGAATGATTTCACTAGTTTCCAAAGTCATACCACAACAGTGAGGGATCATTATGCTTGGCAGAACCCTGTGGGTGGCAGGCTAATGGCATGAATGAGGGTAATAAATCAGCTGCTTTGAAAGTTACATCAAGAGATTTTACTGAAGGACAGGAGGTAAAAAAAGAAAGCAGGAAAGACAGGAAAAGGTTGTTAAGGTAATGTTTCCCATGACTCCAAAGTCTGGTTACCGCCTTCATCCACACTGAAGAGCTAGTATTTTTTTTTTACATCAACCATCTCCCAGCAAGGTTGTGTGATCTGGAGGAGGGAACAAATTTACCTTCGTCAGGAAGAGGTAAACAAAATACAGTGGACCCCCGGTTAACGATATTTTTTCACTCCAGAAGTATGTTCAGGTGCCATTACTGACCGAATTTGTTCCCATAAGAAATATTGTGAAGTAGATTAGTCCATTTCAGACCCCCAAACATACACGTACAAACACACTTACATAAATACACTTACATAATTGGTCGCATTCGGAGGTAATCGTTATGCGGGGGTCCACTGTACATGGATCTAACCCCAGTGATGACTGTTGTTCAGGAGGTGCCTGATAACACCTCTTGGCTCCCAACAAGGAGCTCTACAGGCAGTAAACCCCTCACAAGTTTTCATGGTCCCTATAGCTGCAACAATCCCTGATTTCCACTCTACGCATTCCTTCTAAATTTCCCACCATCAGCCCTCAATAAGGATATGTGTAAACCAAATGATGTTTTAAGCTGAAGGTAAAAAATCTATATAATCAAATTAGGTTTGGAAATATTCCTGCTAAAGACCATTCTTCCAAGTCAAATTGCTTTAGCGCAAATTCATCAGTATCTTAGTGAGTAACTGAATCATTTAATAAACTTTCTTTAACGCTTATCTCCTACCATAGTAGGGTGATGCAAAAAAAAAAAAAATACATACACACAGTCACCATGACTCATTCTATAGCTGTTTTGCCAGAAGTGCACAGACATTATGAGTAAAAGGACCCTCTGAACTGCTATGCCCCCACCCCTTCAGAATGCAGACACTGTACCTCTCACCTCTAGGATTCAAGTCCAGCTAACTGGTTTCCCTAAATTCCTTTGTAAATGTTACCTTGCTCACTCACACAGCACTAGTTTACCATTGCACTAGAATAGATTTGGAAACCTCAAGGCCTGACCTGGAACTTTCAAGGCTTTGATTGGCATATCCTTTGTAAAGAATGTAACCCTTGTTAAATGCAAGGAAGATTAGCATATTTAGCACATACCATAATATATCAGTAACATTATGAATTTAAACAAAATGGTGTATACGGAATTAATATAATTATGAATCAATTAAGCTTTTTCAAGAATAGAGTAACAAAAAACAATTAAGAATTTTGGAATCTTTAAACTTACATGTGCTCCATTAACCACAGACTGAAATCCAGATCCACAGAGTCTGTTGACAGTGAGTGCAGGAGTGGGAATGGGTATCCCACATCGAAGTCCAACATGTCGTGATATATAAATGGTATCCGTGTGTGCACACTAGAAGACAAAATATGTTAACACCTGCCATGTGGTTATATAGTTCCACAGGTGCAGCATTAAGCAAAATATTTCACAAATTTATATCACTGAAAATCACACTACTACTTCAGCTGTGTTGTGTTACTTTTGTTATGAGTTGATATTATTTCATTATTATAAAATTTAAATGGAAGCTTTAAACCCATATGGATCATAAAGAGTCTGGGGAATGGGGGGTAATTAGGGTTAATCTAGGAAAGGGGAGGGTAGCCCCAGTTCCTTGGAACAAAGAAAATTCACCAGTATCAAGGAACTACCCTTAAAGGGATATGAAATTCCCAAGCTAACCATGCTCATCTTACCCCTATAACATTGCCAATAACAACAGAATCAACATGTTCAGGGTTAACATTAGCAGCCGTTAGGGCTGCCTTAGCTGCTACTTCTTGTAAGTCTGTCGGTGTGTGACTACCCAACTTCCCGCCAAAGGTACCAAATGGCGTACGCTTGGCTCCAACTATGAAGATACCTGTGGAAAAAGTATTAACAGGAAAGTGCTAAACTAAAAGGATGGTACAGTGACTGGGAAATGGGAGGCAAGTAAGCTTATTTAGGCACAGGTACACATAAGTACAATTTCCATACACAGTGTAAATTCCCTAGGATAACCCCCAAAAAGTTAAATTGACTTATTTCCATTGGGATAATCAGGTATGATCCACAGAAGGTAAGGATAGCTCCAATTTTTGGATCAAAAGCCCTTGCAGAAAAGGCCCATAATTAGATAAAAAAAAAATATAATGTACCAGTCTTTTCCTTAAGTCAATTACTTTACTAAAAGTAAATATGGAGATAAATTGTTAATTACCAAAAATTTTGAACCTGAGATTTTTCAAATAAACTGATAAATTAACAACATTGCAAATGAAGAGTCGAGTCAGACAATTTTTAAAAGATTCTTAAGTTCATCTGACTTCTCATACACTAGATGATGATAGTGATTTTATTTGGATTAACCAAAGGTAAACTAATAGAGTACGTGTGTCATCAAAGACTGGTCATATTTTCCTTGGTTCCTCTTTAGGCAGGCACAACGCTTGTCTAACGAGGTACACAAGACCTGTGAAAGGCTCTCTTATACATATTTATATAATGGCTCAGTTGGCAGGATCGTCAAATCACACCGAGGGACCAGCGTTTACTCTCTAGCACTGGTGAAACATTGGCAATATTTCCTTATGCCTCCTTGCTGCCCCTGTTGACCTAACAATAAGTACATGTAGGTAAATGGGTTTGCAGACTTGTGGATGGTGATAATGGCCATCATCACCACCTGCTGCTAGCTGCTACCTGTTGCTAGCTGCTGCTGTTAGCTGCTACCTGTTGCTAGCCACTGCTGCTAACTGCTGCTATTGTTACTAATGCCTGCCAGTTGCTAACTGCTGCTGTTGCTAACTGCTGCTGCTGCTGCCTGGAGTTTACCTGGAGAGAGTTCTGGGGGTCAACGCCCCCACGGCCCAGTCTGTGACCAGGCCTCCTGGTGGATCGGAGCCTGATCAACCAGGCTGTTACTGCTGGCTGCATGCAAACCAACGTACGAGCCACAGCCCGGCTGGTCGGGAACCGACTTTAGGTGCTTGTCCAGTGCCAACTTGAAGACTGCCAGGGGTCTGTTGGTAATCTCCCTTATGTGTGCTGGGAGGCAGTTGAACAGTCTCAGGCCCCTGACACTTATTGTATTGTCTCTTAACGTGCTAGTGACACCCCTGCTTTTCATTGGGGGGATGTTGCATCGTCTGCCAAGTCTTTTGCTTTCGTAGTGAGTGATTTTCGTGTGCAAGTTCGGTACTAGTCCCTCTAGAATTTTCCAGGTGTATATAATCATGTATCTCTCCCGCCTGCGTTCCAGGGAATACAGGTTTAGGAACCTCAAGCGCTCCCAGTAATTGAGGTGTTTGCTGTTGCTAATTGATGCTAGCTGCTGCTGTTGCTAACCACTGCTGCTGCTGCTGTTGCTAACCGCTGCTGCTGCTGCTGTTGCTAACCACTGCTGCTGCTGCTGTTGCTGCTGCTGTTGCTAACCGCTGCTGCTGCTGCTGTTGCTAATCGCTGCTGTTGCTGTTGATTCTTCCTTCTTATATAACTCCATTTAAACACGGTACTCTGCTATATATCAAAATATGTAGAGCTACTGAAATACAATATTTTATTCTGTGATCTACGGTGCAGTTTTCCATTCCATTTAAACATAACAGATCTTCTATTATTAACCCCCCGGGGGGGGGGGGATAATAGCTTCAACAAAATCTTGATCTTATAATTAAAACTCGATTACACAACTGGTCTCCACCCGCTCCAGGATCGAACCCGGGTCCGTCGACTGAGCCTGGCACTAAACCCACATGGGCCATACAGTAACGAAGGTAATGGCAAGTAATCTCGTTGGATCCTTGGAAGAGGAAGGAAGCTCCAATTCCTAGGATCAAGATCAACTGAGCAGCATCAAGGCATCCACTGCGAAGCACTTAATTGAAAGCTTCTTAATAACTAAATTAAGTGTAATTTGCACTAATAATTAGCGTTATCTCACCTCTGGTTAATGAAGCCATCTCGCTGGTTGTTGAAGTTGACTGGTAGACTTCTGAATGCAAGAAAAAAGTTAAAAAATATTTAGTATAAACCTAGAAAACCTTCTCAAGTCTCAGCTGACCGGTTCACTCGTCCGATTCCTCTCTCTCAATCTCATTTTTTTTAAATATCAATTAATTACTATAACATCATCTAAATATGTACATGAAAATTCGATTAAAATAATAACTCGAGTAACTTAGGTCATAATAATTCTTTATAAAGCTATTTTAATGCAAATTTACACTATATAAAAGGAACAATTATTATTATTATTATAATCAAAAAGAAGCGCTAAGCCACAAGGACTATACAGCATAAAAGGAACAAGTCATCATGAATCTTATAAATTATTTATACAAGTTGTAATTATCCAATGTATAATGCTGTACACAAGGGGGAAAGTGTTATTTTTGTTCATGGGAAATGCTATACCCGCATTCATCCATTTGTACTCCCCTGTTTGTGGTTGCAGGGGTCGAGTCCTGGCTCTTGCTCATTCAATTCAATTCAATTTAAGTTTATTCTCTATAAGGGTTACAATGTGGGGTTTACAGGTTTTGGGTATTGTGTGGTTTACATGCTATAAAATACTAATTACATTATTATTATTATTATTATCAAAAAGAAGCGCTAAGCCACAAGGACTATACAGCGCTGCAGGGCAGGAAGGAAGCAAGGGCATCAGGTGGCAAAAGGGAGATGGATGAGTAATAGGTTACGGATAACAGCGGGGTAGTGGATGGTGAAAGGGTAAAGGGCAGCAAGAGACTGAACTAGAAAGAGCTGAGGGGAGTGCGAAAAGTATCATCAGAGTTTGTGGAGTAAATCAGTCGTTGTCAAGAAGTCAATGAGAGAGTCAGGATTAAAGGAGGGTCCATCAGTAACAAGGGAAGGTAAAGAGAGAGTAGTAGAACGAAGACGACGACGTTGGAGGTAAATTCTGCGTGCTCGTTGATAGAGAGGGCAGTCTAACAGAATGTGGCTAATCGATACTGGAACTTGACACTGCTCACAGAGAGGAACAGGGTGCCTCTCCATGAGATACCCATGAGTAAGACGAGTGTGGCCAATGCGAAGGCGGAAGAGAGTGGTCTCCCAACCTCGGCACTGATGACAAGAAGACGGCCAGTAACCTATGCTCGGTTTAATAGAATGAAGTTTGTTACCGAGCAGAGTTGACCAACGTTGTAGCCAACAGGTGCGAAGGTGGGTAGCTATTGCAGCAAAATAGTCCAGAAATGGAACACCTCTATAGGAAATTGGTAGGTCATGTACTGCTGACCACGCAGCAGTGTCTGCCTGTTCATTGCCCTGTACGTCGACATGACCAGGGACCCAACAAAAAACAATATCTTTATGTTTGGTAGAGATACGGCATAGCCAAAGTTAGATACGGAGAACTAGGGGATGAGATGTATCAAATTTTCGTATAGCCTGTAGAGCACTAAGGGAGTCTGAGACTACTACAAATGATGACACAGGCATAGATGCGATACGAATAAGTACTGCAAGAATGGCATACAATTCAGCTGTAAAAATGCTAGCCAAAGACAGTAAATGCCCCCGCACGACACTGTCCAGAAACACTGCTGCGAATCCGACGCCGTCTGAAGACTGAGAGCCATCTGTGTACACAGCGGTGGCATGAGAATGGGAGTGGAAGTGATCAAGAAAAAGAGAGCGGGAAGCCACCATAGGCAGTTGAGCTTTCGAGCAAGGGAGTGAGAAAGAACAGACCCGAACAGCTGGAACTTCCCAGGGGGGTAGGGAAAAGTGAGATGCTACATGAACATATAAGGTGGTAATGAAGGGAAGACAAGAGTGAATGTAGGCGAAGAGAAAAGGGACGGAGCAAGCAAGGGGCGCGCGAACGATAAGAATGTCTACTAATATCGGTAAACCATTCTATAAATGGAAGATTTTGGAGATTGTGAGACGTGTACATAGTAGCGAAGGAAATGGGATACGTGCGGATCAGTCAAGGATGGATACATTCGTTCTGCATAGAGGCTCTCACCAGGGGAAAGAGCGAAAAAGCACCAGTCACAAACGTAATCCTTGGGATGGATAGAGTTAAGGCTTAGAGAGTAGTCAGCAGGAGAGGACCCCGGGATAAATCTGGTCACCATAATCGGAAGTTTCGATTAAAACGGAGGGTTGGAATGTAGGCGAAGCAGAGTTCAACGATCAGCTCCCCCAGGAAAGTTGACGCAAGGGTTTTTAAGGTTTTGCGGGCCTTGTGGACATGTGCCCTTCAGAGAGGTTAATGTGAGGTTTCCAGGATAACTACGGTCAAAGAGAAGGCCTATGAAACCTGACTGTATCCGTTCGGGGATCAGGAGCCATAGAGATACAAAGGATGATCGGAGATGTCAGAGCGTCTAGTGAAAGTAATTTGAGTGAGTTTTGGTAACTTGAAAATTTAAAACCCATGCGTGGTGGACCATGTGAAACAACGGTTCGACCGCCATGCTGGAATGAACTGCAATGAGATGACAGTCGCGCCTCCTGCAAAAAGCAATAGCGACGTCATTCAACTTAGAGTGATGACCAAATATTGGGTGGAAGACAGAGGCCAATCATTTTTAGCATGGGAGAATAAGTGTTGGCTTAGAAACACATCCCTGAGGAACACCTTCTGCTTGGATGAAGTCCGGGGAAAAGAACATATTTCTCGACACGGAAATGTCTGTCAGTTAAAAAGTTCTTAAGGAAAGGATGGTAGATTGCCTCGGAGGCCTAAGAGCAGTGGGCCTCGGGCAATAATAATATACCTCCAAGTTGTGTTAATATGCCTTCTCAATGTCAAAAAATTTAGGCAATAATGATGTGATGATTATTCGCAGAGGCATTACGAACATACGTATATCCAAGCGTTAGTAAGGGGGTCTATGGTAGTCCGACTCTTTACGAATGCCATATATTGACTTGTGGATGAGGACTGTTGGTGTCCTCTCTAAATACCACATTGAACGTCGATTTACGAGACGTTCCATCACTTTGCAAAATGCACTAGTACAGAGCGATGGTGACGCTAGTGGGAGGCATTTATGTCCTGTAGTACCGGTTTATGGGAATGGGAAGGAAACAATGGCGATTCCACAGTGGGGAAGAACTCCTTGTGCCCAAATACGATTGAAGAGGTGTTAAAGAGGACTACAAGGGCTGGTCCGATGTAAATGTTGTAACATAACGAATATGAATGTAGTCGGCCCAGGCTGCGATGAATCGGCAAGCTGAGGAGTGTTGCCTCTAGTTCTTGAAGTGTAAAAGGCACATTTATGTTCTTCTATGAGAGAAGAAGAGTCCAAGGATAATATCTCTCTGGCCCCCAAGACTTTGAGGAAAGAAACGAGGGGCTTAAGATGGAGCCCCGGGAATACGGAACTGATGTAATTTTTGTGCAAGTTCAATGGCAAGTCGGAGGGTTTGCTACATCAACCAACCATGGACAATAGAACAGGAGCCGGGTCAGGGGAGAGTATTTACCACTCAATTTCCTCACTTTTGATTCCAGACTGCACTCATAGAAGAAGCAGGAGGAGATGGTGGAACCTAGTCTCGCCAACAAGTGCGTTAGCTTCACGGATGACACGGCGAAGGCGATCGGCACGCTTCTGCTTAAAATCATGAAGTCTCTCAGCTGGTTATATTGTACCGGTATGCCCCATGCAGCGCATTTAAACGTACTGCACGGAAGCACAAGCAGGAGACACCAAGGCTCGGCACTTCTGAGAATGCCTGCCTGAGGTTTGGGAGTGAGTTAAGAATGAGAAGCTGCGGTAAGAAAACTTGAAGTCCGAGAAGTGGATGTAGGAGCTCATCAATGGAGGATGAAAAGAAGGAAACCTCACTAAAAAGCTGTGAGGTGAGAGTAAGATCAATTTGCCCGATCAAATTAGCAGCGAGGGCTACGGGAAAGGTAGTGTGAATTGGAAGGAGAGACGTAAGAATGACTGGAAAATTATCGCTGTCATGTAAGTCCGGTTAGAACAGGACCAGGTGAAGTCTAGTGCAGTGGAGGACGAAGCAGACTGATAAATCGATGCAAGAGTGAGATGAGTACGAGGATCAAATATGCGGTGGGAGTAACCCGTATTATAAACATAGGTGGGGTGAGAGGGAAAAAAAGCCTCAACGGGATCCCACGTGAGTACAATGAGACCCCCCCAGGGAAAGGGTGGGCTTTAAAAAAACCCCCAAAAAAAAGAAAGTGGGGGTGGTAAGGTAAAAAACAAGAAAGGGGCAAGTTGGGTAAAAAAAGCTCGGAGGAGAGAGATTAAAGAACATATTTAAACCATTTTTTCAATGGATACGGGTGAGGTAATGCGGAGGTATGGCAATAGTTGACGTACGGAATATCTTGGTAGAAGAAGGGCATTTCATTAAGGTCCCATTGAGAAAGGTCGGAAAATACAATAAATTATAGCTGAGATAGGTTGGAAAACGCCGAGTGTAATTTTGGTTCTTGTAAGAAGCCCAAAGGGGGGAAAAACCCCTGGAAAAACATCTGACGCTCACCGTTCCCCCTAGGCCGCGGATATTCCTGAAAATGGGCCCATGTTTGGCGATAAAAGAAAATCCGGAACCCGTGGGGAAAGCACATCGGGATAGAGGGTTAGAAAAGTAAGTGTGGTGGTTTGGAAAGATTTAAAGCGCAAAAGGAAGGGTGCGAAAAATGGGGTTGTAAAGATGGGGGAGAGGGAAAAAAAGGAAAGGAAGTGAATCGGGTTCCATTAAAGGGTTTGTTCTGAATTATTCTGAAATATTTAAAGTGTTTTGAATTAAAAGATGGATGGGAGACATATTGGAGTTAGAAGGAGGAGGGTGAGTAAAGTTGGGCAGTAATGGCTGTACAAAATAGAGGGGGGGGGGAAGAGTGAAAGGGACTGGAGATGAAGTGTGGGGGGGGACAGAGAGGCAGAAGAGGGGCAAAATTGGGGGAGGGGCGGGGGGGAAGCTAGTAAAGGAGGAGGGTGAATCTCCACACTTTAAAAAACCCAGAGCGGGGAAAGAATAGGAAGAGACTGGAAAGGTAAAGTGTGGGGGGGAAAGAAGGGAAGGAAAGGGGGGCAAAAAATTTTTGAGCAATGTGGTTTTTTGGACTTCTGGAAGTAGAG